GTGTTAAAAAAAGAAAAAAAGAAAAAAAAAATTGACAAGGTTATTAAAGTAATAAAGTTTAAAGTTGCCTAAGACAGCAAAGGGACTACGTAGGAACTGATCTCTTGGGGGGGCAAGGCTCTCGCCGCAGGGCACACGAAACGAAAACGAAACGAGTGCATCTGCCCAGGAAAGGAGGCAAAATACACTCGTGACTATTTATAGCAAACCGATGAACCTGGCCGTTTTGTGCAGGAAGATGCAGTCGTTTCGTTTTTCGTTTCGTGTTCCGTGCGGCGACGCCCCAAGGGCCCAAGTCACACTTACCCGAACTCTCAATGTCAGAAACTTTGTGACATTGTTATTCTAAAAACCAAACAAAAAAAAAGTCGGCGAAATGGCTGTCCTTTTTCATCCAGCTCATGTTATCTACAACAGAAACGAAGGTTGGGGGACTGCAGTAGCTTCATCTTCACTCCTGCGTCCCCACCGCGATGTGGTGCTCAGAAAAGGGCATGGATCTCTCCTGGTTGCCTGCGAAGCATGCAGCCAGTCCTGCCTGCAAGACTGGCTTCATCTATGGTGGGAATTCGTCATTGCAAGAGGCTTCAGAATCTGGGAGACGATGGACAGAATGTGGCTAAGGGCGTACGGTCCTTCAGGCTGCTGGGACAAGAACTTCGTCCTGCTCCCAGGTAGATCTGCAGACGTCAGCAGCATCGAAGAGATAGTATGCAGAATAGCTCACAGTTTCTTAGAGCTACCTTCTTCCCCCGAATACAACGTACGGTCATTATAGCTGTATCTAGACTGAAAGATGCCTCAAATACAGCTATAATGACCGTGCGTTGTATTCGGGGGAAGAGGGTAGAGCTTTCTGTTCCCTCTAGCTGGCTCGGAGCGACCGTAGATTCCTGAATAGCGGTGCCTCCCTCACTACCTATTTTTTATCAGTACAAGGGTCTAATCAGGCCCCATCTTACAGCTGAATGGTACAAGGTCAACCAACCACACACATCCACGCCAGACGCCACAGAAGCTTTTTTTTTTTTTTTTTTTTTTTTTTTTTTTTTTTTTAAGACAAGCTTTCTTGAACTAGTGGGGTCTGTTCCTTTCCCCATGTAGATCCTCTAAGTCTCAGCGAAAGAAACCAATTGTTCTATTCCGACGACAACTATCCCACCCCTGCCTGATACTCCATGTAGATCAGATAGTCGCTACTAGCTGAGAAGAGTCTAGTGGATGGTCACTTACACACACATCTCTCCTCCCGCCGTCACAACATCAAATTGGCTCTACCTTGTTTAAAGACTAGTATTTCCTATTTACATATAGCTACCTTTTTTTTTTTTTTTTTTTTTTTTTTTTTTTTTTCTGGACTTTTTTTTCAAACGGGCCCAGTGCCCAGTATAGCTACTTTCCTCCATACAATAGAATTGGTTCAAAGCAATAATTAATCGTTATTCACCTTCTTTACACTGCAACATCAACTTCAATAAGGTTTACAGTTCTTTAAACTTCTTTGCTTGTTTTTCTGTGAAATTCAAAACGAAGCCGAGTAATGCTCTCGGTACTTCTTCTTTGCGGGCAGACTGTGAGGACCCCGGCCTCAAATATTCCTTATAAGGGACGTTGGGCCCGGTTCCCGACGCGTGCGGCTTCCCACGAATAGAAAGAAGCAAGTGCTTGGTATTAAAAAAAAAAAAAAAAAAAAAGCGTGAGCGTGGATGTCAAAGATCAACGGTCGGAAATTTTAGAAAAAATCGCCCTATGGAAGTGAGGGACCTGGGGCCGTTACCCACCATTGTTTTGTTTTTGATGGTCCGATGGACCACCACGGATCTGATATGAAAGTAAACGGAATTTGTCACCAAAAAAAACGAAAAAAAACAAAAAAAAAAAACACACACACAATATGACGTCGCTGTTGGACACTGTTGGACAGGCACTACGGGAGTAGACACAGTAGGAGTTTTCGGACTTCTATCTGGACGTAGTTGCAGTCAGATACACCCAGGACAGGCCGTAATAACGATCAGATACATCCAGTAAAGTCCTCATCAAACTACACTAGCACATGAAATTGATTACGGAAATTCTCCATTTCTCGATTTTTGCGTGCCATCCTTGCGCAGGGGCCATCATGGTGAACTATCTTCTCTGTATCGTTCCAATTCTTCTTCTTCTTCTTATTATTATTATTATTATTATTATTATTATTATTATTATTATTATTATTTTGTTCTTTTTAACGGACGTTCCGAAGGGCTGATTACGGAAATTCTGCGCTTTACGACAGAGAGAAAGGCTTCATTTTTTTTATTATTTTTTTTAAGTTTTTTTTTTTTTTTAAATTTTCGTTAAGGGGCGGGGGGGGGGGGGGGGGTTGGGGGGGGGCGCGGAACAGGAAGAAGCTTGATATACAAGCCGAGCCTTTTGGCTAACATCAAGTGTAGTATCTGTTCTGATCAGTTTAATATCTGATCCGTGGTACAAAAAAATCAAATCAAATAAAATAATATAATAATAATAATAATAATAATAATAATATAACAATAATAATAATGAAAGATAAAAAAAAAAAATCTGATCCGTGGTCCATCGGCCCACATTAAAAGAAAATAAAAGAAGAGAAGGACCGAAAAAAAAAAGTAAAAAAATAAATTGAAGTATGAACTAAAGAAGAAGATTCTTGAAATATCAACTGGGCCCAACGAGAGGAGACCTGCGCGAGTCAACACGAGGACCTTGCTGGATGTATCTAACCGATATAACGGCCAGGGCTGGATGCACCTGACCTTGACTTCGTCCACAGATAAGTTGGAAAATGTCCCAGAGTAATTATGGCCCTTTCTTTATGGCCTCAATCTCGGATTTCTTTGATTGAATCTGGGCGAGATTACAATCAGATGCCGGTTGAAAAGCCCGAGTGGCCCGTGGAGGCGAGAGGTGAAACGGCAAAGCAAAGAGAATGAAGGCGAAGTGAGACAGAAAAAGCAGAGGGGAAAGAATGGAAAATCGGAGGAACAATTCAGATAAGCGCGGAGGAAAAGAGAAAGGGACAAACGGAAAACAGCGGGTACACGGGGACGGATCCCTTTTGCACCGACCCCCTTCTCTTCTCTGTTGCTCTTTCTCTCTCTCTCTCTCTCTCTCTCTCTCTCTCTCTCTCTCTC